TCCTTTGAATCTTTTTCCACATATATTTTTTTGATGGTCACTACATGTTCCTCTCTACTTCTTATATTATGACCAAAAAAGGATGACTGTCTCTTTCTGATGCTTGTGATACCCTCACCTCTTTATCAACATCTAGATTGCTCTTATTTTGGCTGTCCAAGGAATTATTAGAATTCTATTTGGGAAAGCGGGTGGGGTGGGGGACCCTAGTGACATACTGCTTGGAAGAAATATAACCTAACTTCGGCTGGGGATTGAGCTTGTACCATTCTGTTTCAATCTCCCACTGTTGTTGAGGAAGGACACTGGTTACCTCACTGTGTGTTTTAGCCTAGAAGGTGAGAAAACCTAACAGTTTATACCTCAGTTCCACTTGCGGCTTCCATGGCTTCATTTTTGGGGAGAAAATAATAGACCCACTGCCCCTTCTAACAAGCATGTCACAGAGTAAACAAATTCAGGGTGTTTCCTTCTGATTCAGAGCTGCATCAGGGGCATATAATAAAGTCTGCATTCAAATAAGGCAGATCTGTAAAACGGATGAACATGCAAAACTTAGGGTCTGAAACAAGACTTAAGTCCAGAAGTGGACCAGAACAGAACTTTCTGCAGGAGCTTACTGCTGATGAATACGAAGAAGAAGAAGATAAAACCTTAGTGGCAGTATCTTTAATAGAACTACCTCCATGTTTTGCTCACTTATGTTGTTGTTTTGCTCGCTTATATTGTTCTTTTGCTCACTTATGTTGTTGTTGTTTTGCTCACTTATGTCTTTTTTCTCTGTACCTAAAGTGTATTATTTAAAATTAGTCATGTATCTGTTATTACTAACCTTCTACCACTCTTTAATGTCTGGTTTTTTTGCTTTTTCTTAAATTTTACTACAATAAAATCTTTTTATCATGAATTCCGAGGAACCGAAAAACCAAAAATATTTAAAAAATGCATGATAACTGGGGACTCCATCCCTACCAAAATTTGTTCATGTTTACTTAGTGTTCTTTTTAAGTCAGTTTGTGTCAATGAGGTTTTATACTGTATTTAAAAAAAAAAACTGTTGCTTTTAGTTGATGAATTGGTTTTTTCCCTTTTGTATGCATGTCTGTAAATCACTGTTTTGTTTTTAATACATAGAGACTTGCTGGTTAGCAACCATTGGAGATTGTTCAACAGATGGGTGTTCACATACACACATACCCTCATCGTCATGTCCACAAGGTAGGTGGTTTAGGTGCATGCATGCATAGATGCACATATTCACACACATGCATGGAGAGAGTGAGTGGATGGCTCATGCATGCACACACGGAAGTCAATGAGTAAGTCACAAATGGTTGAAAAAAAATTAAAAAATAAAGTCGATAATAACTTGAAAACTGTTTATTTTTCAACATAATTTCCACCAACATTGATGCACTTGTCCCATCGTTTTATCTGTCCTCCCAGACCTGATGCATAGAACTGCTTGCTCTGTTTTTTAAACCACATTTTCACTTCACATTTAACTTCTGCCTCATTCACAAAAATTCTTCTGCCAAAGTGGGTTACAGTTGGATTAGAAAGGTGTAAATCGTTAGGGGCTAAGTCGGGAGCTCAAGGTGGATGTTCCAGAAGCTCTCACCCTAGATCAGTAATTTTCAGCCTTCCTGATGCAGCGACCCTTTAATACAGTTCCATAATTTGTGGCAACCCCCAACCATACAATTATTTTTAGAAAATTTTTGTTTTCCGATAGTCTTTAACGACCCCTTTGAAAGGGTCAAGTGACCCACAAAGGGTCGCGACCTGGAGGTTGAGAACCGCTGGTCAATTTTTTCCGGAGTTAACTGAGCCGTATGTGGTCTGTCATCATGAAGGAGCAGTACTCCTCTAGTTAGCAGGCCTGGACATTTTCTTCGAAATGCACCATGAAGCACCGATAAAACTTTATAGTATGAATCAGCATTCACAGTGTCACTCCCTTTGTTGTTGGTTAAAAGCACTCCTTGACAATCACAGAACACTGTCAGCATAACCTTCCCTGCTGATAGCATTACCTTGAATTTTTGAACATAAAGCGAAGAAGGATTTTTCTGTTGCATTAACAACATCTTTTTACCCAGCTGTGTACCGCTTTATGGGATAAACATTTGTCAGCATAAACAGGAAACATTCCCTTATGAGTATCCTTTGCAGGCAGCCCTTTTGCTTCCCAAATAAACACACTACAGCATGTTGTTCTATGAGGGTACACTCCATAAGTACAGTCGCCATTTTGTTTCTGTGTTGCGCATGCAACACCTAGCACAACCTAACAAACCGAGACATAAAGTTTAATGTTGCTGTCACCTAATGATATCTTTAGAAACAACCAACTACATTTTCCTGCCATCCCATAACCATTTATGACTTCCCCTCGTTTAAATATTCTTATTAGATTTGCCTTGGTATACAAAGGTATGCTCTGTGTGTCTCAAAAGTGGTGTTAGTTGTCCCCAGTATCTGATTTGCTTTTGCACATTTTATCTTGATTTCTCTATTATTTCTACCTTCAGATGTGAAAATTGACCCTAGATATTTAAATTCACGTGGGGGGGGGGGGGGGGGGGGGCATGGTGATTTTAAGGGAAAGTTGAAGCCTCTACCTTACCTCAGGCATCAGAAGTCTTTGTGTTGGGTTTATAAAACCACACGCAAAATTCCTGCCACACATCCACGATAATGGCCTATGTCAACCTTAGCACAAATGGCAGGGGATCTCGGAGCTGGATATCACTGATGTCTTGATTGTAAACTTACTGCGTTGTCTAGGATTCAACCCGAGAGTTTCCCAATATCTGTCAGAGACCTTTTTTGGACACTGCTGACAGAACTGTCTTTAATAGAGTATCAAATGGAGACACTGGGAAAAACACATATAGAAGGTGGTCAACATTAACTTTATTAGCTACACATACCCAACACACAAAAACACACACTCTACCTGTCAGTCCCTGTAAACCAAGCCATCACTAGCCATTCATTCCTCACTGACTTTCCTCGCACCCGTTGAATACTGATGTCCTGAAAGTCCACCGGTGCGCAAACATGCGTCCTTAAAAAAACAGTCCTACACTATTAACTGGGTCCATGATACTGGCTCCCAGAGAGGCATTGTTCGGAAAATGTATGCAGTCATCGGCCTATTCCTAATGCATGGGTTATAACTTCTGTCTAGAAGTCATTGTAAAATGAGTGAAGTCCACTGGTTGAGTCTGCGGCTAAAGGACAAACGCTGCTTAACCTGTCTTTTGATGAGAGTCCTACCAAATGGCAACATGCTACTTGACGATACAATAGATTCAGACTGGCCATAGTTGTCCTAGATATAGGATTGTCACTTTTTCATGTTGGAGTGCAAGGAAACAATAGATGGCAAACAAGCCAGATTGGGAATGGGGGGGGGGGGGGGGGGTGGGTGCGTGCAAAATGTAACTTCTGGAACAAAACCAAAGTCAAGAAATAAATAAACAAGCAAGACTTTCCTCTAGAATTTACAAACAAACACTTTAATTGACATCATACATTAAAAATATTAATTAAATTAACTCGAAGACAACACAGGCACATTACTAGCATGCATTTTAGTATCTTTGTTCGCTCACTGCTTGGTTAACCAGACACACAAACACACATGTTGCTCAGACACACAAACACACATGTTGCTCAGACACACAAACACACATGTTTCTCAGTCACACATATTTCTCAGACACACAAACACACATGTTTCTCAGCCACACATGTTTCTCAGACACACAAACACACATGTTTCTCAGACACACAAACACACATGTTTCTCAGACACACATGTTTCTCAGACACACAAATACACATGTTGCTCAGACACACAAACACGTGTTGCTCAGACACACAAACACACATGTTTCTCAGACACAAACACACATGTTTCTCAGACACACAAACACACATGTTGCTCAGACACACAAACACACATGTTTCTCAGACACACATGTTTCTCAGACACACAAACACACATGTTTCTCAGACACACAAACACACATGTTGCTCAGACACACAAACACACATGTTTCCCAGACACACAAACACACATGTTGCTCAGACCCACAAACACACATGTTGCTCAGACACACAAACACACATGTTTCTCAGACACACAAACACACATGTTTCTCAGTCACACAAACACACATGTTTCTCAGACACACAAACACACATGTTTCTCAGACACACATGTTTCTCAGACACACAAACACACGTTTCTCAGACACACAAACACACATGTTTTTCAGACACACAAACACACATGTTTCTCAGACACACAAACACACATGTTTTTCAGACACACAAACACACATGTTTCTCAGACACACAAACACACATGTTGCTCAGACACACAAACACACATGTTGCTCAGACACACAAACACACATGTTTCACAGACACACAAACACACATGTTTCTCAGACACACATGTTTCTCAGACACACAAACACACATGTTTCTCAGACACACAAACACACATGTTTCTCAGACACACATGTTTCTCAGACACACAAACACACATGTTTCACAGACACACAAACACACATGTTGATTAGACACACAAACACACATGTTGATTAGACACACAAACACACATGTTTCTCAGACACACAAACACACATGTTTCTCAGACACACAAACACACATGTTTCTCAGACACACAAGCACACATGTTTCTCAGACACACAAACACACATGTTGCTCAGACACACAAACACACATGTTTCTCAGACACACATGTTGTTCAGACACACAAACACACATGTTGTTCAGACACACAAACACACATGTTGTTCAGACACACAAACACACATGTTTCTCAGACACACAAACACACATGTTGCTCAGACACACAAACACACATGCTCACTTGCTACCTTTTGATTTTTGATTATTGTTGTTGCTATTACAGGCACCCATTGGTCAGTGGTTTCTACAAGCTGTTGGCCGTTACTATGACAATGACAAATAGACTCAGTTTCTTCAAGGTGGATTGATATTTAAATAGTATCTACATGCAAGCCTTTTTTACCTACTTCCTTACCTACCTAAATGCCTGCATGCCTGTCTCTATACCTGCCTGCCTGTCTTCATGCCTGTCTGCCTGTCTTCATGCCTGCCTGCCTGTCTTCATGCCTGCCTAGCTGTCTTCATGCCTGCCTAGCTGTCTTCATACCTTCCTGCCTGTCTTCATATCTACCTGCCTGTCTTCATACCAACCTGCCTGTCTTAATGCCTGCCTGCCTGTCTTCATATCTACATGCCTGGCTTCATATCTACATGCATGTCTTTATATCTACATGCCTGTCTTCATACCTGCCTGCATGTCTTCATATCTACTCTACATGCCTGTCTTCATACCTGCCTGCCTGTCTTCATATCTACATGCCTGTCTTCATGCCTGCCTGCCTGTCTGTCCTAATGCCTGCCTGTCTTAATACCTGCCTGCCTGTTAATGCCTGCCTGCCTGTCTTTATACCTACCTGCTTGTATTTTCCTAACACAAATTTTAGGCCCTGTAAACCTGGGTGCCAGGTCAGTCTCCTTAAAATCTGCCACAATGGGACTTTGAACCTATGACCGTTAGCCCAGTTGGCATGTATGCTAGTCATTCATTATTTTTGCAGCTACCTGTTTACATACCTAGCCTCCAGGTTGTGATCCTGACTGCTGCCTAATATTTTTAATGCATGTGCATGCTGCTAGTTAGTTAATCTACACATCATCTTCTGTGCACATCTGACAAGTCCTTAATCGCTCGGTTCCCATCTACACTATATCCTTCAGCATGTGGCAACTGATAACACCAGTTCTCCGTTGGTTTACTTTCTTCTTTTGGCTACCTGTATAGTGTTCATGTTTGGCGACACCTCTTTTGACCTGAAGTTCTTGTAGTCTTTTGAGTGTTGCTGATTTAACGTCGTCTCCTGAATCATCTTCTCGTACTGCCTCCTTGAGAACATTGAGATTGTCGGTCTAATCCATTGCTTTTCTTATACCTTCCATGGCCCTGCCAGAAAGCCAGTGCGTGTATGCTATTGGATTTACTGAGACTGCATTCACTGACAAGGGACAGTGATTGACATTCTGTGTGTTTTATTTTTTGGGGGGGCACAGGAATGGAGCAACTATAGTTTGACCCATTTGCTATGAAGTTGGAACTTCAGTTACCTGAAATATGTTGATTTGAGATTCTTTTTCTTTGTTCTTTGTACCTATACAGATCAGTTTAGCATCTGAAGATAAGCTGACCAGTGCTAGATAGAGCACACTGCATGTAGATTGATATTTTTGCTAAATGTCTTCCATTAGAACTGCAGCAAAGATCAACCTTTGCCGTCATCCTTGACAGATGAACGGATGGAAGTGGATGAAGAAACTGTGGATGACAATGACACAGAAAAAAATGCAGCCTATCAGCTGATAAAAAAATTCTCAAAAGAGGTAATGTAAAAGCATAAAAGTTCTGCCTTTCGTATCAAATGCTTCAATTTTCTTCTTAATTTGTGTCCGCCTCTAAAAGGATAGTTGGCGCTTTATGTTGTGGTATACTGCTAGGCTGTGATATCTGCGCCTTTCAGCCCAACACATCCATTTTCATAAAATCTCTAATTAATCACTTTTTACAACATGCCTAGTAGGAGGAACGTGGCTCCAACCTCCTCTAATAGGGCCATAAAACTCACACAGGGAACTTCTACTGTTATGCCTTCATGCATTTTAGTCTGTGATATAATGAGATGAAATGGCAAGTGTCCTTTTCATTTCTTTCCAAGTAAATTTTTAACTTGTTCAGAGCCACCGGGTCAACCAGCCTAAAATGTAGTACCAAAAAATGCCCTGGAGAGTACGTGTGAAGGATACAGCATTTAGAAATCCAGCCTCAAAAACTCTCTTGGTAATACATGCCACGATACACTAGGGTGACAGGAAATGAACGAGCTGACAAACTGGCCGTGTTTGCAGCAGTTAGTGGAGGACGAAGTGTAGTCAGGGTAGACGTGCTTAATGTGCTGCGTTTCCAGAGATGTTGAGGCAGAGTGGTCATAGACTATGGACTGCCTGTTGGAAATATGTATTAAACTAGGGCAAGCGTGCAGATATATCATTTGCGGGGCAAAGAAAGAAGATATGCCAGTCAACTCCTACTGGATACAGTCAGCATGTACACACTGAGATGGCTACTGCATTGGAGGGCGGAGCACAATGATTGGATGTCTGCATGGATAACAAGTAACAGGTGAAGGGTTTGATATTGACCACACCCACTGAGTGTGATTGGTCTGTACCTATATGGAGATAGCACCATATGTTCTATACAATTAAAAACCTGGAAATTAGACCTTTACCTTTACTCAGGAGAAGCTGGTCAAGTGGTTATAGTGCTGGGCTCTTGCGCTGGTTTGATTCTGAGGACAAAAATAAATATCCTAACTTGCACAGTTCATGGCGACTGCATTAGCCTTATAGTCCTAAATCCCTCCTCTCACAACCCACCCCTACCCCCCTCCCCTGTCTTACACCAGTAAATAGGGTGAAAAGTAAAAAATTATAAGCAATAGACGTCTCTGTTTTTTAGAAGTGTTTATGTTAATCTTTCTGTTGTTTAGTGCATTCTTTTATATATATTCTTTCATTTTAACTGGCTTCCTATTTATGTGTCTCAGTCAGTACCCAGTTGTTTAAGATCTGATTGTTGAAATCACAGGTCCTTGTGAGAATGAAACAGTACAGAGATGATTTGTTGGCGTCCTGTCTGACTCTCATTTTGTCCTTGCCGAAGGAAGTCATCGTTGATCAAATGGCAGACATCATTCCAGCAATAAAGGTATATTACTGTTATATCTTAAATTTGTTTACATTATAACATTTTTTTCCCCACCGTCTCCTTTTAATAAAATTATCTAGCTGGAGCCATGATAGCATAGTGGCTAAATGCTTGCCTGCCGGTTAGAAGAACTTGGGTTCGAATCCATAGCATGCAGATTTTTAAAAGACAAAATGTACATTGGCTGCTGATTGACCCAGCCTAAATTGGAGTACCAGGAAATGTCCTAGGAAGTAAAAGTGACCAGCATGATGTTGAGCACATCACCTGCTGATTGGTCTATAAAAATAATGAGTCTAGCGAGTCGCTTGAAAACATGACCCATTTAGGAAAATCGATACCGCATATTTGGCCCTGTTACATAGTCATTCTCATTGTGTTTGATTTCCCCGTGTGGATTCCACACAGAATCCCACACAGGAGAATGGCGCTGCGAGGAGTTACCAGGGGATCTGGCTGACGCTCAGCACTCAGGGAGAGGATGAGACGGATTTACCATCTGACGGTTACTGGTACCATTGGAATTGGAACTCTTCGCTTGCTGCTGAAGATGGGAACTGAACACTTATGGGAGTGTCCTGTGCTGTGATGTCAATTCTTGATTCAACATTTAACATTCCCATGTTTATTCCAGGTCCAGAATTATTTAAAAAAAAAAAAAAATTCTTGCCCCCTTCTAGCAAGCATGTGATGCAGGGTGATCAATTAGGGGTGTTTCCTTTGAAGTCGAAGTGCACCTGCCTAAGTGGCGAGAAACCAACAGTCTGTATGCAGATAAGCCAGATATGTAAAATAGTTATGCATGCTAAACTCAAGTTGGGAAAGAAAACCATAGTCCAGTAATAAACAGCAACCAAAACTTTCCGCCAGAGTTTACAGCCAGCGAATTTAATTAATGTGTTTAATTAATGGAAACTATAAACTGGCTCATTTCTCCTTACCTGGTTTGTTTGCCATACCCAACTTAGTCCAAAAGATAGTGTGGAGGTAATAAAATGGCAGAAATATAGTGTGGAGGTAATAAAATGGCAGCAAATACTACCTGAGAATTTGACATCTTTTATTTATTTAAAAATCACTTAATGTTAAAAGATTAATTTCCAACTTGTTTACTGCAGACAACTTTTACAATTGGTTTGAGTTACCTGCCCTTGGCCAATGTTGGGTTAAGTGCCTTGGAGTACTGGTGCCAGACACTGCCACCACCAGTCTTAGAGCCTTATTATTCTGAGTTCCTGCCGTGTCTGGATGCTTATCTGAAGACAGATGACAGAGGTAAGCTCTGCTTTATATGAAAATGTTTTGCTGATTTAACCTTTTCACCTCAAGAAGCTGCAAATCTAACACTTCCAGTTGGGCCTAATTCTTCTTACAATGTCACTTTTCTGACTTGTCTATAGTGACCTATTTACGAGATGCTTAGTTAATCTATTGGCTGTTTTCCTGCCTACACAAACATTTAGGTGGTCATGATATGACTGCATTCATTAAAAATAGCATTTAAGGTGTTTTTTTCCTTGGGGTTGAATAGCTTTTTTAAAGCCAGATTTACGTCATATGTTCTCGTTGCCTCAGTGATGGAGGTCAGGGGTCACAGCACAAGTTACTGGATAATAATGTTTTTTCAAAGCTCTGGGGAATTTATTCCATTTATTGCTTCAAGCTACTCATGTTTATTAGTTATTCCTTCTTATATCTTCATATATTTCAAAGAAAAAATGTGGATGCGTACATTTTTTTTTTACAAATTTATTAGTGACCTTTGTAAAATTATTGGTTATTTGAGGTTATTTTTCTGGAATTCCAATGGGGGTCATGTCTGATTTTTTTTTTTAAAGCATTACTGGAGCGAGAGGGTTAAGAATTGATATCATGGTCTACTGGGCACAGTTAGGAATGCTCTGTCTCCTGCAGCAAATGTCTTAAGGTAAAGATGCTGACTGTTCCGGTACTACACTGGTTGAACTTTCAGGAAGTTAATTTTGACTGATAGTAAAGGTAATTTTAAGCCTAGTAGTCTTGCCCGTTTGTATCATAAGTAATTTTTATAATTGAGCTCACCTGTTCTGTTATTTGAATACTTTTAGGACCTTTCCTGTTTTATTGTGAAATTAATTTTAAGTTAGAAATTTGGTCTATTATTTTACACGAACACGAATAATTTTAAGCAAGTGATCTTGATTGTAATTATTTTATCGTATAAGTAATATTCAGTAACTAATCTTCCCAATGCTTTTTATAAAAGTATTTTAAAGTTAGCAATATCGCTTCTGAACCATTAATTGGGAGAACACATCCAAATAAAACATTATATATTTTAGGGGCAGAGGAAGTAGCATCAGATCAGCTGATTGTGGTGGCTTCTAAGAGAAGTCGAAAGGGGCGTGTTCCAGTCCGATTACTGAAGGAACGGAGAGCAGAGGCTGAAACGGTAATATTTGTTATGGGTACATATTTTTCAGCTTTGTGTTGTGCTGATTTCTTCTTCTTCTTCTGCCTTTCTAGCCCCCAATTCTAGTCCCTCAACCAACTCACGCCAAGTCGTTCTATCCTTTACTATCGCATGCAGCTCTCCCCATGTCCTCTCTATCTTTCTAACTTCTGATTTAATGTTTATAAAACATCACTCAGTCAATAGCTTGTCCTTTGCTGAACTTTGCTCCCATAACAACCTTCTGGAAAACTTCTTGATCACAAGCAAGATGTCTTGTGTCCGATACTGAGGATCAACCGCTACATCCTGCACCCATCTTCTCTTTTACCTTCCTCTTCCTCTCTTTATAAAACATCATCATCATCATAAAATGGAAGTAATTCAAGAGGAGTGAAGAAATAAGAGAAATGACTGGGCAGCCACTGAAAACAACAGTTATAAGACAGAGAAGATGGCGCGATGTTGTACACTTCCTGAGAAGAGATTAAAAGAAAATTACCACATGGCACTGAAATGGGAAATAGGGGGATTGAGGAAACGAGGACTTCCGATAGAAACCATATGGTGAAAGAAAATTGATGAGAGAAGCCAGATTTGCTGGACTGGATTCCGTCCTTGGTATAAACTGATTGCACAGAATAGAGTTAAATGGAGAAGTAGACTGTGAGCCCTAAATGACCTAATGGCACAACAGGACAATATCAGATTGGTGTGAAACCTCCTGGAGCACAGATTGACCCTTCATAAACGACTGCAACTTGGTTCTCTTTGAACATTCACATAGTATACACAATAACACCCTCTCTGCATATGAATGGTGAAGAGATAGCAAGGACTGAAATTTTAAAATACTTTGAAGTAAGTTCTGATTAAAGTCTTAGCTGCAGATTCCAGGTTGATAATTTACCAACAAGGCCAAAAAGGGTTTGGCTGCAATGAGAGTTATGGCTGTCATGTGTAGCAACAAAGGCCTAGTCATTTTATATCAGGGTTTGAGCCTCTCTTTTACAGAAAATGCACTGGCAATCCTCACCCTCAGCATGAAACAGATTGACAGATTGGAAAAGGTACAAAATGAAACAGTGCGTATCATACTTGGGCAGCACCAAGGACATATCGTATAGAGCAGTGAGATACCTACTAGATCTTCCAGATATGTATGAACAGCAGGCTTGAAATGCGCCAAACGTCTGCCTACCTCAGAATCACCGAGGTCTTTACCCACCCACTACATGATGAACTGAATATATATACAGACAAGACTTAAACGAGGCCAGTCTTGATTGGGCCGGGCAGAGACAGTACTTCAGAGAGTGATTTCCCTTCAAGACATAAACTATGGAGAGGAATGGATACCCATACCAAATGAATACAAGCAGTACTTTGGAGTGGTTATCACCCTGACAGTTTGTGCCACCAAATAATGTAGAATTTAAAGAATTGGTGGAGAAACATTGGAAGATGCTGTTCTATGATTCATTATAGGTGAAGTGGATGGGCTTTCACGGCAAGAACTTGAAATCTTTGAAGAGGACAGTAGAGCCTTTGCTTCTGCCAACAGGTCATAGCTGTGACAAAGGCCCTAGAATGGATGAAAACTCAGTAATTTGCAAGTGCATGTTTGCTCAGCGACTCATTGAGCATGCTACAAACGATCAAGGCAGGGCATATAAAGAAACAGTGGCTGCTTCTGATACAGCACACAGCGTTTCACTAAATAACCTTCATTTTTGTCCCAGGACATGCTAGTGTAAAAGGCACTGAGAGAGCAGATGCCCTGGCTAGTGGCGCAGCTATCAATAATGGGCCATCTATGGGCAGGAGAGACATCATCAGTGCTATACAAGAGACTGAGCGTTGCGAAGCTTTCGGTTTCTTCGAGGAAAATGATTTTTCACTGAATAGACTGCATACCCTGCTTGTATCAGTTGGAGCGAGACAGGAAAGCTATGCGGGAGCCACCCATCGTTACATCAGCCAGCACAGAATGGGAGTTGTTAGCTTAAAAACACCTGGATACTTACTCAGGAAGAGATCGGGGCACATATGGTCATGCCCAATGTGCGAGGAAGATGTTCTTTAATTGAGCAGTGAAGAAAAATTAATAAAAAAATGTGCTTCAGTGACATTTTAGGAATTCAAAACAATGTTAAGAGACTATAAAAGACATTGGGGTTTGTGTATTCAAGTAGTAAAGATTCATTTATGTGCTTCGTTATGTGTTGATGTAACTCTGTAGTAATGCATCTGACGAGACACTGCCAAATATGCCACACAGTGTATTGTGCAGTTTATTGTTTCTGTCAGAATCATAGACAATGAACAATTCTTTGAGGAGCGGCTGGCCGAACGGTTAGAACTCTCTGCTCTCAAGCGGGAGACCAGGGTTCTAATCCTCAGTAAGGCTGGGAATTTTTTTCTGTCGGGGGCAAAATTAAATCCTTACTTGCACAGTCGTGGCAACAGCACTAGCCATGCGGCCATAAAATCCTCAGGCTCAAAGACCCTCCTCTGCCTAAACCGCAAAAGTGGTATCATAAAGGCAGTAATTGGCAGTTTGTTTGTTTGTGGGAAGATTAATTCTGTGTTGAAGTGAGTTCACAACTGCCATCATAGCAATCAGAACACTCCCATAAGCAGTATAGGACAGAGCTCAAAGCTCTCCATGCTCTAGGTCCTGGATGTTGGTCAGGCCCATGGTTGAGCCTTTCCTGATAATGGGTCTACACAGTCTCTCTTGATCTTCCCCGTTTTCTTTTCCTTTCCGGTATCCATATGAGCTCTTGATGGGGAAGTCTTGTCTGATCTATTCTGAGTATGTGGTCGATGTAGTTCCAGCAGTGCCTTTCTTATTAAATGGGATACGTTTGTCTTGCTCGGTTTCTTGTCTTATTTGCATTTTAGATCTGACATCTGTCCAGTGGAGATTTCGAATTTTTCTAAGACGTTTGTTCTCAAAATTGTCTAATTTTATAAATTTTTTATCTAGAGCTTACCATTGTTTTCCAACTCTGGAATCCATAAGTAAGCACTGGAATCACACAAGAATTGAAGATCTAAATTTTTATGTGATTGCTAAGTGTCTTCGACTTCCAGATGTTTGACAGTTTTCTGATGGTACCAGTAGCAATATAATCGTATTTCTGTTTTGCTAACCTTTGAGGGTTGGCCAGATATCTCCTGGCCACCTCTGCTGCACCATTCTCTTCTAAATAATTCTATGTCAATAGTGTACTAAGTTAATATTTCTTATTTCCATATTATTTCCTGTTGCAGGGTGCACGGAGTCAGCTGTCTATGATCAAGTACCGGATACTGCGCTATCTTGGATCTCTGGGTGGCCAGATAAATCACAATCTCCTGGCCCACACAGAAGAAGAAATCAGCCAAGAAGCCATTGCTTGGGATACACAAAAACATCTCAGATTTGATGTCCCTTTCTTTGATATGAAACCTGTCATTTACTTTGGTTAGTTAAATGTAGATATTTTTTATTTTAAATGTAGATTTTTTAAAATTGGTTGGGTGAAGAAAGGAAAGGGGTGATTATTCCATTCTGTTGATTTTTTTCTCTAATGTTTTAGTTTACTCATGAAGCAATCATTATGGATACCTTAGGAGCAGCAACAAACATATACTTAGCTTTTCCAGTTATCCTTTATATTATCACCTGACTTTTATTCGCAGATGAATTTCTAAGGGTTTCACGCCTTCACTGATTAAAAAAAAAAACATAATATAGCGCTGCTGCTCATTGGCGCATGTCAAATGTGGCCTACCATCTTTAAACTGTCATTATGACATCACATTGTTTGTCTGCACCATTATGTCAGTGCTTAACATTCTTGACATCCTTAACAATATTGGCAGGTTTCAAGGTAACGGCATGGTAATTGTAATTTCAATAACACTTTGGAGGTTTTAATTTGAAATCCTCTAGTAAAACACAAACTACGTGTCCAAGTAAATAGCACAACTCTTTGACTAGTGTGTTAAAGTCATGTGTGTTAGTGTGTAATTGTTTGCACATTTCATCACTGTGACAATAGATATGCCACAAAATTAACATTTTAAAAAAATATATCAGATATTCATGTGATAGAGGATACATATGATGTAGATTATGTTTATGAAGGAAACAAATTTCTATCAAACAGATCCTTTCCTACCTCAAGTTGTGAAATTAGCTCAACAGTCCAGTGACAGGCAGACCAAAGTTGCAGCATGTGAACTTCTCCATTCCCTGGTGCTGTATGCTCTTGGGCGTGGAGCACAGATGCCTGGAGAAACTCAGAAGAAGCACCCAATGGAGCAGCTGTATCGCAGATTGTTTCCTTCACTGCTGGCTTTGGCCTGTGATATAGAACAAGTAAGCCACTTTAAGAATGCTTTTAAATCATTCAGAATGTACACTACTTAACTGCGCATTAAGAAGTTTTTCTGAGGAATTGAAATTGGATCTATATGAATCTTCTTCTTCTTCACTTTTTGTTTTAAAACTGCTTATGGTGTTGGGGGAAATCTAAGATTCTCTTCTTGTTTTTGTAGCCATTGTGCTATTGTGAAGCTTCTCTGGTGGTATCTTTCTATCTTGTTCTTGGTCTGCCTTGTTCTCTATGTCCTCCTCTTTTGATGATGCCTTGTATGGTATGGTGTCACAAGGCATTCTCTCTGAGTGGGCAAACCATTTGATTTGCTGTCTTTATATGTAATTTTAGAATTGGTTCTGTGTCTATATTTTTCTCTTATATGACATATTTCTTGTATCAATGATGTTGAAAAAAAACTAGTAAAGAACACATTTTTTTGGACACCATTAACACATATGAGACATATGATGCTAGACTCACATTTTATAGAAACATTATCACTCGATTGGTGACCTGGTGAATATCATGCTAGCTTGTTTACTTCCCAAGACATATCCTGGTACCCACTGATTGGCTGGGTTTACCATTGAGGTTTAGGTCAGTTATAAAAGAATTCACCCCTTTGTGGATTCAGACCCAGGACCTTTGGGCTGGCAGGCAAGCATACCACCACTGAACTAGCATGGCTTCCAATGTACCACTCATTGTCATCATCATCATTCTTTGCAGAACATCGCTCTTGTCATAGTCTGCCTGAAAGAAACTGAATCTCTCACCAGCTCTCCTGCCACATGCACTTCTATCCTGTGCTCATCTTTGGACTGGTCAGCCCCTGCCCCTCTTTCCTGGCACTATGCCTTCTTCTACTTTTCTTTCTAGACCACCATAGCCAAAATATTTCAGTTTTTGAAACAACATGCTGTTCACTAGCCAGTCTTATTCGATGTACAGATCTTTTAGAATGTCAGTACTTGTTTTCTTTTTGGTCCATGATATTCTAAAAATCTAAGAGTACAACTGGGCTGTCAAATACGTTCCAACATTTTAGAAAAAAATAATTACATGAGAAGATTTAATTAGCCCAACAAAATGTAAGTGATTGGAGACGAGTCATAAATTGATTTCAGTCATTATTACTGTACAGAATAACTTGATGATATATAGTTTTAAAATTACTAGGTTTGCAAAGATCTTTTTGAGCCATTGGTGATGCAGCTGATTCATTGGTTTACCGGCAACAAAATGGCGGAGAGTCCTGAGACTATGGCATTACTGGACAGCATCTTTGTGAGTAATAATAAGTATTATTAGGTTTTTTATTAGGCCTTTTGTTTTGCCAGTTGAGTTTTCTAATCACAGTTTGTGCTGTATTTAGTACTCTGTTAATGAAGACTTTGGTCGAAATGTTCAGTTGTGTTTGTGTAAGTCTTTTCCACTCCCTCCTTAAGCTTTCTAGTCATATTTTGTGTTATATTTAGCATTTCTTTGTATGACATCTTAGTGGTTACTAGAACATTGCATGTTTATTTTTTCTCCTTTTGAAGAGATAATTAGTCTTTATTAATAAATGGGTTTTTAAAATTGACTAATTTGATTACTATTTGTTCTCTTACCTTAATGTTCCTCCTATTTGTTCGTGTAACCATCATTTGAAATAATATTTTTCCTCACATTGTTTGCTCTGTTTACATTCATTTTCTTGTTTTCTAAAAACCTGTACTATCCACATAGTGAAAATGATGACATTTTTTTCATGTTAGAGGCAGAAACTATCTCTTAGCCTTGCTGGACTGAAAGTTGTAATATTTGTTGATAATTATATTTTGCTAAGTATTAATTAACTGCCTTATATTTGCCACTGTCCTATTAAATTTTTTTTTTTTAAATTGTAGGATGGTCTGATTCAAGCAAATGACACAGCCCTTCGTGATTTCAGTGCCAGGTGTCTGAGGGAATTCCTTCACTGGTCTTTGAAGCAGACCTCTAGCAGAGTATGCTATTTTTATGATTTTGTCCAGAGAGATATATATAAGGATGAAACAATGTGGGGGGAGGACAGGAGAAGTACTGTTTGTAGATTTAATGCTTTAACACTGTGGCTTGTCTGGTTTTCCTTGACATTACGACTTTCAGCAGTTGCCGCTTTGTCTATATAACAGTTGTGGTACTGTTTGCAAATGCGTAGTGTGATACTGGAGATCTTATAATTTTATTTAGTCCTGCATATTTTCAGTTTTAGATCACTAACACAACAGTAGCAGTAATACCATTTTTTTTTCTCAAAATGTAATTTAATGTAAACAATGTGGACACAAACAATACATTACATAATTTATTGCCTGACATTTTTCGCTGCATCAATTCAGGTTGATTACTGTAGGGTTAAATCAATGTACAATGAAGCATACAAAAAAAAATATTTTTCCCTAAAATGTATCAGTCATATTGTCAAATTAGATATCTCCCAACTGAAATTCAAGAACAGCCGCATAATTACAATGTTAACTTGAAATATATTGCATGATCTTTTTGTTTACATAAAACAGAAGAGTTCATTTTTTGTAAATTACTGTCTTAGCTCACATCTCTAATGAAGCCAAGGCTGTCAGCTAATTGACACCAAGTCCTTTGGGAACTTGTTCATGAGTTGTGCTTGTAGGCTGCTATGTTTCTATTTTTGCTTCCTTTATGGGCTCTAATATCACAGGTCTATTGTAACATGTGAAGAGATAAATCCTAATACAGTAGCTACGAATTTAATCTGTTTCATGAGTGAGCTCGTTTGGTAAATAACACATTTCTTTAAACTATTTTTCCATTAAAATAAGTGTAAATAACTGTAATTCGTTCCAGCAGTTTAAAAAAAAAACTGAAGACATTTTTTTGTTGCAGTTTATTTTCATCAAGCACCTTGTGGATTGGCTCAAGTCCTCTTTTGGCAATCTTAACGTGACCTAATCCATTAAAAAGTTATAAAGATACTGTCGGGTAACTCTGAGAGTCGCGTCTCTCCAGCTCGCAGCCTGGATGTTTCCTCATATTCTAGAGAATAAACAAATGGAGAACCTGACCTTGTGTTCTGACAAACTCATAACCAGGTACACTATTATCCTGAGGTTCCTCTATACTATGAGTTGGGACACATCCATAGGTGCTCAAACCCCCAACTCCCAAACACATGGTCAATAGCGCCAGCCCTGCGCTGGTTGACAAGACTTTTTATACATCCCATGTGCCTCTCATGCCATGATTGGCTGATCTCTACTCCCAATTTTTATATTCTTAGCAGCAATGTGTCCTAATTCTAATTATTGTCATGTGTATTTTCCAGTAGAATTTTCTAAATGCATGTTCACAAATGCAGGCAACAGAAAAGAATCCAGTTAATGCCAGATCTGTGTTGAAAAGAATCTACAGCTACTCTCTACACCCAAGTGCTTTCAAGAGACTGGGAGCTGCCTTGGCTTTCAACAACATATACATGGTTTTGAGGTAATTGCAAACACATATGTTATGGGATGTAAGTAATTATAACAACATATACATGGTTTTGAGGTAATTGCAAACACATATGTTATGGTATGTAAGTAATTATAACAACATATACATGGTTTTGAGGTAATTGCTAACAGATATGTTATGGTATGTAAGTAATTATAACAACATATACATGGTTTTGAGGTAATTGCAAACACATATGTTATGGTATGTAAGTAATTATAACAACATATACATGGTTTTGAGGTAATTGCTAACACATATGTTATGGTATGTATGTAATTATAACAACATATACATGGTTTTGAGGTAATTGCAAACACATATGTTATGGTATGTAAGTAATTATAACAACATATACATGGTTTTGAGGTAATTGCTAACACATATGTTATAGTATGTAAGTAATTATAACAACATATACATGGTTTTGAGGTAATTGCAAACACATATGTTATGGTATGTAAGTAATTATAACAACATATACATGGTTTTGAGGTAATTGCTAACACATATGTTATGGTATGTAAGTAATTATAAAAACATATACATGGTTTTGAGGTAATTGCAAACACATATGTTATGGGATGTAAGTAATTATAACAACATATACATGGTTTTGAGGTAATTGCAAACACATATGTTATGGTATGTAAGTAATTATAACAACATATACATGGTTTTGAGGTAATTGCTAACACATATGTTATGGTATGTAAGTAATTATAAAAACATATACATGGTTTTGAGGTAATTGCAAACACATATGTTATGGTATGTATGTAATTATAACAACATATACATGGTTTTGAGGTAATTGCTAACACATATGTTATGGTATGTAAGTAATTATAACAACATATACATGGTTTTGGTCGGCTCTGTGGCTAAGTCGATGCGAACACTTCGCTTCGTAATGCCGGGATGCCAGGTTCGATCCCAGCTGCGGGCAATGCGCCTTGCGTTGGTTTCGACAGTGGTATCAAGAAAGCCGACCGTCCAGAAAGCAATGGCAAACTACTGGACGTAAATTTGCCTAGAGAAACCACACAACAGCCAGGGGCTGTTAGGGTTGGTTCTGCAACGTCCTCTAGAGGATACGCAACAACCTTAACATGGTTTTGAGGTAATTGCAAACACATACGTTATGGTATGTAAGTAATTATAACAACATATACATGGTTTTGGGGTAATTGCAAACACAAATGTTATGGTATGTAAGTAATTATAACAACATATACATGGTTTTGAGGTAATTGCAAACACATATGTTATGGTATGTAAGTAATTATAACAACATATACATGGTTTTGAGGTAATTGCAAACACATATGTTATGGTATGTAAGTAATTATAACAACATTTACATGGTTTTGAGGTAATTGCTAACACATATGTTATGGTATGTAAGTAATTATAACAACATATACATGGTTTTGAGGTAATTGCAAACACATATGTTATGGTATGTAAGTAATTATAACAACATATACATGGTTTTGAGGTAATTGCAAACACATATGTTATGGTATGTAAGTAATTATAACAACATATACATGGTTTTGAGGTAATTGCAAACACATATGTTATGGTATGTAAGTAATTATAACAACATATACATGGTTTTGAGGTAATTGCAAACACATATGTTATGGTATGTAAGTAATTATAACAACATATACATGGTTTTGAGGTAATTGCAAACACATATGATATGGTATGTATGTAATTATAACAACATATACATGGTTTTGAGGTAATTGCAAACACATATGTTATGGTATGTAAGTAATTATAACAACATATACATGGTTTTGAGGTAATTGCAAACACATATGTTATGGTATGTAAGTAATTATAACAACATATTGATTGTGTTGTAAGTAATCATAGTATTTATATGACCTACACAGACACAAAAGAACTAAGAACAATGGTAGGACAAAGTACCGGTAAATGATTTAACAGAACATCAAAGAATCAAATGGTTTGGTCATCTGGTCAGAATGGAACAGAATCAGCCAGCAGCTAGAGTGTACTACCTAAGAACAACATACTACAAGTCAAGAGGCTGACCAAGAAAGATATGGGTGGAGGAAGTAAAAGAGACGCTTCAGAAACACAGTGTGACTTTAATACAAGCTACGCAAGTAACAAAAGACATGAAGCTACATCTGACAACTTTCTGTAATGTTTCACAGCATAAGCAGTAGAACAAAGGAAGAAGAAGAAAGAAGAATATTTAGGTAACACCCCACACCCAAATGGCAATAAAAGAATTGTCTCTACTGTCTGTATATACCACTTTTTTATGGCGTTGTAGACAGGGGGTCATGAGACTGAGGATTCAGGGCCGCTGGGCTAGTGCTGTCGCCATGGACTGTACAGGTTAGGGTATTTATTTCTGCTCCCAACTGAAAAACTCCATCACCGTACAGGGGGTTGAACCACTGTCCCCTGCATTAGGGCCCAACATAACTTTTTGGCCAGCTCCTCCTTCCCCAGATGTCAGTAATAATTATGGGACTACCTTTCTGCAGTAGATGTCTTTCAAAGTGGCAGACACATAAGGTGACATACTGTAGACTGTAGATTTAGAGGGGACAAACTTTAACATATATCATCCTTTTTCATTTGTATGTGGTTGTTAACCCCGTTAGCCTCTACTGTAAAATCGTATAGGGTTGAACAAGTTATATCAGTTATGTCTACATGAATTGTTGATATGCTTTTGATGTGACATTACAGGGAAGAGGATGCTCTGGTTGACAGGTTCACCTTTGAGATTCTGGTCCATTTTGTTGAAAGTTTGTCACTTGCTCACAAGGACAATAAATCCATGGGTAGGTCTTGTCATCATCATTCTTTTAACTCCTTCAATCACAGGCAGTTGTGCAGTGTTTAAAAATATATATAATTAACACTGTGGGTTGGGAAAGGAGTTAGTCACTGAGTATCTTCTTCTTTTTCACATACACCGGCTGTAAACTCTGGCGGAAAGTTCTGGTTGTTCATCCACTTCTTGACTGCAGTCCTATTCCAGAACCTGGGTGTTGCATGTGCAGGCATTTTACAGATCTGACTCTTTTGTATGCAGACTGCTGGTTTCTTGCCTCTCAGGAAGATGCACTCTGACTTTGAAGGAAGCTCCCAGTTAGTCGACTCTTACGACATGCTTTTGATAGGCAGGGGTCTGTTCTTGTTTTCTCTATAACAGGGCCCCGGAACCCACTCAGGGAATCACTTAGTATGACTAAGACTTAGAATAATAGATAACAATATTTTAAGTCATTGTGACAAGGATGGTTAAAAGTGCTATCTGGAAATTGAATGACCATATGTTTTATGTTTTACATATGGTCATTATTGAATGGCCGTAGATTTAACAAATATGAACTAATTTAACTGTGAGAGATGCAAAATGATGCAAGCAACGTTTTTACCAGACTGTCACAGAACACCTACAGAACTTCTTAGAAAACAGAAAAATCATATCAAAATTCACTAATCATACATTTTAGTGATTAGCTAACAGAAACCTTACTGATGGTGTAGGAGTTAAGAAAAGTGTTGTTGTCATTTTGGATTGATGATGGTTGTGTATGCTGGTAAAGTTTAGTTGCGTATCCTTTACAGGACGTTGCAGAACCAACCCCAGCAACCCCTTGCTGTTGCGTGGTTTCTCTAGGCAAATTTACGCCCAGTAGTTTGGTATGCTGGAAAGGTCTTCTTAATTTTTCTGCAGTCTTCAGCAACATGTGTCATTGCAGATCAGTGTGACCTGAGTTCTCCTCTTCTGCCTTTTATTTGGGTCAGCTTTGGAACCCATGCACATTTTTTTTAAAAATCAGTGGCAATTAGAACTATGCCTACTTGGTTGGCAGACAAGTGTTCTGGCCACTGTGCTGCTGCAGCTCCCATATAAAGTGGTTAGTCTCCCAAAATGCTACTTTCAAGAAGCCAGTTATTATTTGTGCTAACTTACTTGAGGTTTTACCCATCTTAAAACAGACTGTACCTCTAAGAATCAGTTGAATCTATTAAAAGAGCACACACTTTATAGTACCTTTAAAAAAAACACAACTAATAGTTGATTTACTTTTTCTCAAGACAAAACGTATCTGCAGTTTGTTAAACATAAAAGCATCAAAGTAACAAATGGCATAAAACAAAGCTACAGGAACATCAAATGAGACATGGTGAAGTGGTCTGGCTGTTTGTCTCATTGCGTCCTTCAGTTCACGAGTGCAGTTTTTATGGAGATCCCTGAGGATTATCACCAGAGTTACTGAGTTTGTGCAAGACTTTCACCAGGAGGCTAGCTGTTCTCAGAAAAAAGATAAATCCATTTGGGGTAAAACCCAGTTTAGTGAAGTCTTATCTTCTTAACTGAAACATAACATGGCTTTCTCACCAGGTACCCAGGAGCAGTGTGTGAAAGTTCTGGATCATTTGGAAAGAATTATGGTCAAGAAAGCTGATTTGTTGAAGAAAGACCCAGGACCCAAACTGAGGCCGGAACCCAGGTGTGTTTTTGGAAATATTTATGTGAAGAAAAGTTGTATCATGCTCGTAGAACTTTGAGTGATGACGTAAATAGGGTGTGACTGCAGTCGAGCTGATTGCAAGAAACGCTGACTATAACACAAATCAAACCATCTGCTACTCATTAGAAGATCATTTCATTCGTACTTTTGGTGTTCTTAGTCCTGGAGGGATCAATATTCAGCTCTGCTTTATTTTAACTGAATTTATTTACATGTTCGTTTATTTAACTTATTCATATTTCTTCTCCTTTTCACATACACTTTCTTATTTATTTTGTTTCATAGTTTAGCATTCACATTTGTACTTTTTCCTTCTGAACTTACTTCTTTAATTCATGTTGACCTTGGTTTTTTTTAATCAGCTCTTTTGCCCATTGAGTTTTCTACTCACAGTTTGTGCTGTATTTAGTGCTCCGCTGATAAAGACTTTGGTCGAAATGTTCGATTGTGTTTGTGTGCATCTTTTCCTCTCCTTCCATTAAGCTTTCTAGTCACATTATGTGTTATATTTAGCATTTCATAGAACTTCACCTTGCTGCCCCGAGAAACCACAAAACCTACACTCCAGTTCCCTATAAAGTTCCTCAACTGATTTTTTTTTTTTTTTTAGTTATGAATTAATTTACTAAAAAAAGCATTGAGGCAAAAATGGGAGGAGGTGGAGTTATTTCTCCAGGGTATTCTCAACATTCGTCTATAAAACCACATCTCTGCAGCTTTCACAAAATTGTTAACTTTGTGCTGTCTGTTGTTAAATTACTTCTTGATATCAATTTGCCTGTAATCATCCCTATTTTCTACTTTGTTGTTTGATACATGTGGTTTTGTTTCATTTTAATTAATGCAGTTTACCAGAAGTGTGCCAGTGAGAGTTAAAAGCACAAGAACAGAATTTGAAGGGAAAAAAGGCAGTCATGTTTTTCCATTTGTAAAACACAATCTTTATAATTTCAGTTTCTGGAGCAGCAGAAAACTGGACATCGCTGTCAGATGGTTGACTAGGCAGTGTGGCAACCCACAGACTGAGTGCAGGCATGCTTGCATGAAACTAGTTGTCAAGCTGTGCACCTTGTTACCAGGTATATTCCAAAGTGAACTCATACTTTATCTGGTTTCTTGTTGCTGTTCAAGGATCACTTCTAGTATACATGGATATCTATCTCCGATAGGGCTTCAGTCTGTTCTCACAGGTCATATAAAATAGAGGACCCTTGCCCACACCTTCAAATCTATTTGGCATATAGGGCTAGATATGTATTTTTTAGACCAATCGGCACTTGGTTTGTGATATGGTCAGCAACATACAGGTCACTTCTGCTTTCCAGGATTTTTACCTGGTACTCATATCTTGTGGAAGACCAAGGGAAACCCTATGTAGAACTATCATCAGGAAAGGCTCACTCATGGGCCACTCAAACATCCAAGACCTACAACAGATTGCAACAAACCGCCATGCATGGAGAGTCATGACCTCTGCCCTATGTGCCACACTCGACACAAGAGGAAAGACTAACTAACTAACTAACTAACTCATATTAAGCTTGGTCACTCTGGGAGCCAAGGTTATTTAAATAACAAAGACTCTGACTCTGTTTAGATTTTAACACATGACTTTTGGATCTCTAGGTGAGCGATAGATCATGTAGAAAGAAGACACTGTACACAAACTCCATAGTTCCAGCATGGATCGGGTTGTGTGTATCCCAGAATAAGATGTGTTGTAAATATTCACTTTGATCGCGACGTCCAGGCTTTTTTTTCTGTTGTGTATCCCCAGCTTTTATGTCAGCTTTGAAAGATGTGTTTACTGCTCCAATTCCAATTCTAGTTGTCTAACGAAAATTCAAAATTTGATCCTTTTTCAGGAAGGTTCCTTGGCTATCTTTTTTGGTTTCCTTTTATTTGTGGTGTGTAATCACACCTGATTTTCCGTTCTTTGCTTCCCAAGTCCGGTGTGGCATTTGGAATTTTTGAGCCTGGTCTGGTCCAGTTCTCTAAGTGCTGATATCTGTGGGTTTTAGCTGATTATTGCTGGTGCTTGGTTTACCTCATGCTGATCGCTACGCTGGTGATGTGTTTACGGCTGATTGCAGTCATACCTATAATTCACGGCTGTGAACTGTCCTACCCAGTTGTCATCCTGTTTTTCAGAAGGCGAGCATTGGGTTATTGCAGCAGTCATGTCACTCCATAGTTTTTCTGCTCCTATGCCAATGAAAATCATACAGAATGCCTCTCACGGACCCTGTGAACCACAAATGACACAGTCTGCACTTTTGGCAAAGCCAGCAGTACCTACATGCATCCAGTGCACAAGGTAGCCGTCAGAAGTGCCAGCACAAACAGTCTGGCACCAGATCTGACTTATTTATTTGTAGACTGCTGGTTCCTTGCCTCTCAGGCAGATGCATTCTGACTTTGAAGGAAACACCCAATTAGTCGACACTTACAACATGCTTGTTAGGGAGGCAGGGGGGTCTGTTCTTGTTTTCCCACCCCAATGGGGCCCCGAAACCCACATGGGGCGATCCGGTTGTTTGTATCAACATTATTGATCAACTGCTTCTCTGTTGTTTAACCAGAAAGACATTTTATTTATTTATTATATTTTTTGTATTTGTTGCCTAGCTGTTTAAGCTCTCTTACGTTGCACTTGTCTTTCTTTTGTCTTAATGATGAGTTTGATGAGTTATTGTGTCCACAATATTCTCAACACCCTTCTGTATAAAATATATCTCCCTTGCGCCCAGTTTTCCAATTTTAGAGTGACTGAGCCAGATGGAAAGAAGTCAGCCCTCTCTTGTTTAATCACTTTCATTATTGCTTAGAGATTTTAGGTAAAATTACTGAAATCTGTGGTATATAATAAGAGTTTAACAGATTTTCCACCAATGTTCAACAAGCCGGAATTAATAACTCATGGAACAGAAAGTAAATGTCTCCATGTTTCTAAATAATCTCCAATTATGTATTATCCTTGCATTGATTCCTGCAGGTGTGAAATCATCTCAGGATTTCTTTACGATCATCTACAAAACTCAGGGGGCAATATATTTTGTGCAGAGGTAAGAGACATGGAGATATGGGGACGTATGTTATTATGTCGGGGTATTGATTGATACTCATAGATGGTATAAATAACTAAGATTACCAGATTACTCCTAGATGGTATAAGCTTGGTAATAGGTGTTATTGGACATCTAAACGAGTTTTTTTTCAACTTTAGGCTTAACATTCCTTGAATAGCTCAAATGAGTAAACCTGATGTTCTTAAAGAAACTGAAACTAAAAACATCACCAAAAAGAGGCAGCCATTTTTAGGGTCAGTTTTGAGAGCATTAAAAACTCAAATGTTGACAGCGGGACTGATTTAGGAAAAGAAGGAACAAACAAACTTTATTTTCAAAGGGTCACAAATTGGGCACGCAGACCCGTCCTTCATTCGGCCCTTCCACTTATTATCTTTCATATTACAATTGTATTTTATGTTTAAAACCTGTTATGTTTATTTAACAATAAACATACTTTGAGTATCAAGTAAAAACACATAAACATGAATTGTGAATGCAAACATTTAAATATACAATCACATCAAATGCATACACACATAGATACTTAAAAAAAACATACACACATACGCACTCATACACTCATGTACACATGCGTACATACATATATGTTTATATAGATAGATGCACACATATACCAACACATAGAGTAGCAAAACAAGAAAAGATGCTTGACAGCCTGGTATCATGGCATGAAAGGGTGTTAGCAAAGATGCTATTGAAAGCAACGTAGAGAGGCATGATTGCCCCCACAGGCCGTCAAACAAGGCACTTGATTATGATGATGAAGATCTAATTCCTGATCCATGTGGTCACAAATAAAACATTCAGCTACGCAAGGATTTAAACTCAGAACCACCGGCTCAACAGGGGAATTTCAAGCCATAGATTTAATGCGATTTCAAGGTATTATGAAAATAAAAGACCACCTTGCTTACAAGTTTGTCTTGTAGATCAACTAAATAGGAAAGTTCCATTCAGAGGCTGAGTACATCTGCCTAAAAGGGGAGGAACCAACATATACAGGTAAATCAGATCTGAAAATGGATATATACATAAAACTCCAAGTCCTGGAACAAGATCAAAGTCCAGAATTGGAGAACAAGATCAAAGTCCAGAATTGGAGAACAAGATCAAAGTCCAGAATTGTAGAACAAGATCAAAGTGCAGAATTGGAGAACAAGATCAAAGTGCAGAATTGGAGAACAAGATCAAAGTCCAGAATTGGAGAACAAGATCAAAGTCCAGAATTGGAGAACAATTAGAACTTTACAGCCAGAGTTTACAGCCAGTGAACATTAAGAAGAAGAAGAAGAAACATTAATTATTGTTCAGAAATGTATGAATGCTAGGGATAAAAGTGTTATGTGACGAGTTTATGAAAGAAAATTATCAATGTGATAAAGTTTGCACCTGATCATTGAGAACAAGATCAACGTGCAGAATTGGAGAACAAGATCAAAGTTCAGAATTAGAGAACAAGATCAAAGTTCAGAATTGTAGAACAAGATCAAAGTTCAGAATTAGAGAACCAGATCAAAGTCCAGAATTGGAGAACAAGATCAAAGTTCAGAATTGGAGAACAAGATCAAAGTCCAGAATTGGAGAACAAGATCAAAGTCCAGAATTGGAGAACAAGATCAAAGTTCAGAATTGGAGAACAAGATCAAAGTCCAGAATTGGAGAACAAGATCAAAGTCCAGAATTGGAGAACAAGATCAAAGTCCAGAATTAGAGAACAAGATCAAAGTCCAGAATTGGAGAACAAGATCAAAGTCCAGAATTGGAGAACAAGATCAGAGTCCAGAATTGTAGAACAAGATCAAAGTCCAGAATTGGAGAACAAGATCAAAGTTCAGAATTGGAGAACAAGATCAAAGTTCAGAATTGGAGAACAAGATCAAAGTGCAGAATTGGAGAACAAGATCAGAGTCCAGAATTGTAGAACAAGATCAAAGTTCAGAATTGGATGAATGACTAGAGCTTTACAGCCAGAGTTTACAGCCGGTAAACATTAAGAAGAAGAAGAAGAAACATTAATTATTGTTCAGAAATGTATGAATGCTAGGGATAAAAATGTTATGTGAAGAGTTTATGAAAGAAAATTATCGATGTGATAAAGTTTGCACCTAACCATTGACAGATTTGAAGGAGGTGGTTCAGCTTCTGGGGAATCTCAAGGACTTCTTGCCTGTCCAACACTGGACACACTCAGTGAGCCCTTTTCTCTGGACGTAGCTCGGCATTGGTTCGACATGTTGCTTGCTGCATTAGACTGCTACTGCTGGGCATTTGGTGAAGATTTGATTACTCCTTCACAGCTTTTCACAGGTAAACAGGAATAAAAAATCAAAGGGTTGTTGCAGTTAGTAGTGACACATTGGGACTGTCTGAGGTCATTGAAACAATTTTTACATTTCATTTAAGGTTCTGACTTTCATATGTTCAGATTTTAAATGTTTTTCTGAGATAAACTTTAATTGGGCATATTTTATGATGGAAATTTAATTAATGCAGACACAAACAAAACATTGCACAATTTATTGCTTGGCATATTTCGCTGTATTTTTTCATGTCTGTTAATACAGTTACGTAAACATAAAATGAAGCACAGAAAGGATTCCTTAGCATGGAAGAATACAAACCCTAGAATCTTCTGATGATATACAGCAAAATCTGCCAGGCAGTAAATTTTGTTTGTAACTTCGGAAAAGTATTGTTTAGATTAAGCATTGAAAATTGCCATAAAGAATATACTGCAGGCAATAAAAGTATCTTGTTGCGTAGTGATGTATCTCCTAAAGAATCTTCTCAGTTGTGGAAGATGAGAATCCAGTATAAAACTGCTCACAGTGCAGGCAAGGACATTTCTGACATGTAAATTTCCTGTTGCTACAGGGTCAGTCTGCATCCACTCGCTCTGATTTATGCAGGAAGATATTGAGTGCTTTGGGACTTATTTTGAATGCACATCAGTTCTTTGTCATTATTCACCCTTGTCTGAGACGACTGTGTATTCAGTCCTAATTTTTGTAGATTAGGAGGGAATGAGATCATTGAGTTTCTTTGGAAATTTTTTTTTGAAAATTTCGTCTTTAACTACATTTAAACCCTGAACCTTTTAATGAGCCTCTGCCTCCCCAACAAGAATATTGTAGGAGTTGTCTAACTGGGGATTTCCTTCAAAGCGGAGTGCATCTGCTCGAGCTGCTAGGAACAGCCAGCTGCACACACATTTATTGCTCAGAAATAAGCCAGTAAAATGGATGTACACGCAAAACTCAGGCCCTGGCACAAAGCCAGATGGACGAACAATCAGGACTTTCCTCCGGAGCTTACAGCCGGTGAACAAAGAAAAAGAAGAAGAAGAAAAGCTTTGGTGTTGGTTGCAACTACACAGTTTGTAGACGTGGCTGGTATAATATTCCCCCCCCCCCCCCCCCCCCCCCCCCCCCCCCCCCCCCCCCGCCCCCCAAAAAAATAAAGTAAAAAAAAAGTAAAGGATCCTTTTCCACGCCTTTAGGCGTATAGGGCATATAGGGCTAGACCTATATTTTTATAGACCAATCGGCACAAGTTTGGTGATGTGGTCAGCATCATGCCGGCCACCTTTACTTTCCCGGGACTGCACCCGGTAACCACTCAAAGCTGGGTTGACCTGGGAGCCAAGGTTATTTTTTTTTTTAAAAGTCCGGCTTCTCCAGGGACCGAACCCATGACCTTCTGATCCGCGATGAGCATCTAGCCACTCGGCCACGGTGACTCCCTAAAAAAAAAACAATTAATTTTTTTCATTGTAATCTCATCATTTACTTGGTAGTCTCATAATGATGTCACTTTGCTTCATGTGGCTGAGTAAACAAACCACATTTGTCATTGTCAAAGGGAGAGAAAACAAATAATTCTTTGCTGTTTTGTGTTAGGTAGTTAGTTCCCTTTGGAAATTTTCTCAAGGTCATCAGTGTGTTGGGAAATGAGCAGGCCAATAGACTAGCCGGTTCTGCGCCACTTGGTGTTGAATTGATATATTACTAGCTAGATGTTGTGAGGGCCCTTGGGAGCAAGTGAACAGTGCGGAGGTACAAACAGGTCATTACGGTCTGAGGAGAATGGCGCTGTGGGGAGTTACCAGGGGATCTGGCCTACACTCGGCAATCAAGGGAAAGGCGAGACAGAATTACAATCAGACAGTTTTTGGTACCATCGGAATCGGAACACTTAACTTGCTGCTGAAGGGGAGAAGCGCTTATGTGAGCGTCACGAGTGCTGTGACATCGATTCTTAATTCAACATTTAACAGTCAGTTTATAAAAACAGACCTTGACTCAAAATATATTCTACTGCTTCTTCTCTTCCTGTAGTTTTTTTAAGGTGGAGTTTCACAGAATTATAAGAATACGTTTCTTTTTTAGTGAACTGTGGAAAAGAATTTTCTTTTTTAAAAAAGATTCTTACGAGGGTGAAATGTTTAAAAGCATGTCAAAAGGAGACAATTTCAGAATGTTTTTAAATCAGATGTGTTAGGAAAGAAACATCTGAAAGAAACAGATATAACAGCTTAGCTGAAAACCACAACACAGCCAGGGAACTTCTCTTGTAAGGTGAACATAGCAGAAGATGGTAACTTACTAGGCTCTTTGACTGTCATTTGCACTGTACTTCTTTATTACTGTTTAGACACATGTTCATTGATTTTCATTTCCAATTCAGGTAACGGTTCAGAGAAAAGTTGTATCTTTCAAAGTGTGACTTTCTTCCTGGATAAACTCGTGTTCTCAGATATTGAAGGAGCTGCTCGGCTGTTGCCACACAAGAAGACTGTGATTTTCACACCTTTGGAGAGGGATGAATACAACAGGTTATCAATCTTTACATTTTTGACGATCTTTTAAATAATATTTAGTTTTAAGGTGTAGCTTGGAATGTTCATTTGTAACATGTAACACCTAGAACACTGTTGGTTTCTTTTTGAGAGCTGAATTGAAAAAAAAAAAGGGAATACTATAAAACATGCAGAGAAAAAGAATAATGTAAATTAAAGATAAATAATATTCTGAACTAAGGTTTGCTTGTTGTTTTAATTGTTAGAGATAAAATTTGCATGAACTTTTCTTTGTAATTGTTGTTTTTGTGTGTGATTCAGAATCAAGTGCACAGTTATCATACGTATATGGAACTTTTTGTCAGTTATACTTGCAAGACACTCACAGGAAGTTAGCAAGGTAACATTTCTTTTTGGTATTTAAAATTTTAAAAACATTTCATGCCATTTTGTAATTCTATGTTTTTTAAATTTATTTTTTCAACCTTAGAATATGCTGGTGTATTTCTCAGCAGACACTTAAAATAAACAGTCACTGTGATCAAAGGCACCAGTTTATGACTATCAAAGAGGCAGCATGTGCATCCTTTTTTTCCCTCCTGAACCAGGTGCACTTGAGCATAGCTCATTTGGCACAGTATCGGGAGCATCGAAGCCCTTCAGCCTCGGTGCCACGTACTCTGTTAATCTGATGATAATGCAGCTTTTTCCATCCTCCGGCTTGAACTTGAGACCGGACACGCATGGGGATGTCACCTGACATCCAACGAGCTATCAGCTACGCTGGAGGGCCGGGCGCATCCTTTGTATAAAACAATAGAATGTTTATATACATATCACACAGGTCCAAGTTTTTCCACCATTTCCAGAGAAGAATAGATGTCATAATCACTACCATATGATGAAGGTATACCATAATTTCTTAGTCCATACAAATCTACACATTGAACACCATGGTACAAACTGTTAAATATGTCGGAGACAAAATATTTAAATTTGCAGGACATCAGGAGCCTCTCTGGGTTGAAACGTCGCAAGCTAGCTTGGTTTGGGCACATGGTGAGACATGATTTGATTGCAAAGACTGTGCTTCAAGGAAGATTGGGGGGTAGTCGGAGAAAAGGTGGACAAAAAAGAACCTGGAATAACAACATCAAGAAATGGACAGGACTAAGGTATCCTACACTATTTCATCAAACGGAAGATAGAGCAAGATGACAGGTTTTATGTGCTAGTGCTTCATCAATGCACCTCCACGACCCTAATGGGTCAAGGGTGGTGTTATGTTATGCAGACTAGGTCTGCTCAAGCCGAAAGTGGAGACCATAATCACTGATCTACCCTGCTTTCTTTGACTTTCTCTGTTCTGCCAAAGTAAGGCTCACTCATTTAGTGAAATGGAGTTAAAAGTAAATTCTTCTTTTGCCCTTTAAGTTGAGTTGAGTCAAGAATTGACATCACAGCACTCAGGGCATTCACATGTGTATTCTATCCTCATCTTCAGCAGCCAGTGCAGAGTTCCAGTACTGATGGTATCGGTCACAATCTGGTTATATGTCCACTTTGCATTTCCTCTGAGTGTAGTGAGCTGACCAGACCCTCTGGTTACACCCAGGTGCTTCATTCTCTCCAGGCCATAATACTCTTGTTTCTCTACTGATTCCATTGCTTGTTCCTTAAGGGCCTTGACCACATCTGGCTTGTCGTGTATCAATTCACCACCCAGTGTCGCAGATTCAGCCAGTCAGACTGCCTGTTCATTACCCACTATGCCGGCGTAGCATGGAGAAGAGATCCAAAGTATGCTCACTACCCGTGACCTTTCCAGTGAAGCTTGCCCTCTTCTCAAAGCATCTCTGTCTTCACCTTTCTCAGCATGCTTTGAGAGTCTGTTATAATTACAACATGTGTTTGCATCTTGTTCTCTAGCCACTGGAGAGCTGCAGTTACCACCTCCACCTCTATTCTTATGCTAGATGTTGTGGTGTCGTATGCCAGGCTGTCTTGCACTAAAGATTTTTCCATTGACTTTCGCTACAAACCTCCAGACACTTCTCTTTCCTCTCAACACCGAACCATCTGTATAGATAATCAGATCACCTGGGCGTGAATTGTTATGAGTAAACTGTTGGACTTGTTTTTCGCCCTTTAAAGATGTTTAGTGATCTTATGATATGATTAATGATGATCAGGACAGCCTGGCACATGATACCATGACATCTAGCATGAGAATGGAGGTGGAGGCGGTCACTGCAGCTTGCCGGTCACTAGAGAACAAGATACACATACACGTCATAATTGTAACAGACTCTGAAAGCATGCTGAAAATGGTGAAGACAGGATTACTATGAGCAGAGTTGCAAGCTTCACTTGCTAGGTCACTGGTAATGAGCATACATTAAATCTTTTCTCCAGGTCATGTCAGTGTGGTGGAGCATGAACAGGCAGACAGGCTGGCTGGATCTGCACTGCTGGGTGGGGAACTGATGCATAACAAAGCAGATGTGGTCAGGGCCCTTTGGGAACAAGTGACGAAGTCAGAAGAGAAAATAGATTTGTATGGGCTGGAGAGAATGATGCACCTGGGTGTGACCAGAGGGTTCGGCCGGCACACTACGCAAAGAGGAAAGGCAAGATGGACATACAGCCAGGCTACGACTGGCAGCATTAGTATTGGAACTCTGCGCTGGCTGCTAAAGATTGTGACGGGGCACGTATGGGAATGCCCAGAGTTCTGTGATGTCAATTCTTAACTCAACACAACTTAAAGATATGTAGTACTACAAATGTACTTTTTTCTTTTCTTTAATTACAGGTGGTGCCATCACACATCTGGTGTGAAAAACTTATGGAGACTTTTATGTGATTGTGTTGTGAGACCAGGGATGGCTGGCTTCAACATGGCTGACACAGAAATTATGGTCCACTTACCAAAAGAGGTTGTGCACGTTTTTTTCTTTTTAATGCATCTTCATCTTTATATGTTCTTAAAAGTGCTGTTGGCACTTAGTGTTGTGGTTTACAGCTAGGCTGAGATACCTGCCTCTTTTGGCTTAAAAAAATTCAATGTCAGCAAGTCCTAAATTGGTCACCTTTTATTACCTGGTCATTAAGGTTCAGGGTTCAGTTTTAGTACATGAGATGTAAGCTTTTATATTGTGTTGAGTTATTTTATTTCTGTAATCTGCTGTAACTGGATGTGCGTGTTATATTTATGTATCCCTATTAAGATTAGTAGGGAACCTCATGGTTTAGCGACTAGATGCTCGCCTGTGGATCGGGAAGTCACGGGTTCTGGTCCTGATAGGGCCAGCATTTTTTCGAAAATAACCTTGGCTTCCAGGTGGACCCAGCCTTGAATGGGTACTAGGTACAGTCCTGGGAAACTTAAATGGGTACTAGGTACAGTCCTGGGAAACTTAAATGGGTACTAGGTACAGTCCTGGGAAACTTAAATGGGTACTAGGTACAGTCCTGGGAAACTTAAATGGGTACTAGGTACAGTCCTGGGAAACTTAAATGGGTACTAGGTACAGTCCTGGGAAACTTAAATGGGTACTAGGTACAGTCCTGGGAAATGGGTACTAGGTACAGTCCTGGGAAACTTAAATGGGTACAGGTACCTGGGAAACTTAAATGGGTACTAGGTACAGTCCTGGGAAACTTAAATGGGTACTAGGTACAGTCCTGGGAAACTTAAATGGGTACTAGGTACAGGTACTAGGTACAGTCCTGGGGAAACTTAAATGGGTACTAGGTACAGTCCTGGGAAACTTAAATGGGTACTAGGTACAGTCCTGGGAAACTTAAATGGGTACTAGGTACAGTCCTGGGGAAACTTAAATGGGTACTAGGTACAGTCCTGGGGAAACTTAAATGGGTACTAGGTACAGTCCTGGGAAACTTAAATGGGTACTAGGTACAGTCCTGGGGAAACTTAAATGGGTACTAGGTACAGTCCTGGGAAACTTAAATGGGTAACTTAAATGGTACAGTCCTGGGAAACTTAAATGGTACAGGTCAGTCCTGGGAAACTTAAATGGGTACTAGGTACAGTCCTGGGAAACTTAAATGGGTACTAGGTACAGTCCTGGGAAACTTAAATGGGTACTAAGTACAGTCCTGGGAAACTTAAATGGGTACTAGGTACAGTCCTGGGAAATAAAGGTGACCGGCTTGATGCCACATCACCCTCCAAGTGCTGTTTAGTCTAAAAATATAAAATTGAGGTCTAACCCTATATGCCCAATACTCCTGAAGGCATGGAAGGGCTACTTTAATTACTTTACTTTGATTAGTGCATTAGTATGAGGTTATTAGTCGGGGTTTCAACTTCACAAAAATTGGTACCTCCGCAATTTCTATTTTCCTGTGCCAGTGAAAAACCTCTCAAAAATGTCTGTCACTGTCTCCTGTGGAAGTTAAGCAGACATTAGTCATGGCAAATCTAACAGGTTGCACATACATTTCAATGCGTAAGGCAGGGGCCAACACTAACTGTCTGTCACTACGTTTCCAGTTTATCATAGATAGCAGCAGCAGTCACAACAATTTAGCATGAGTACACACATTAAAACAGCTATAAAAAAATTAAGAATAAACAAAGCTACCGGAGAGGACAACATCTCAGGGGAAATGCTCAAAGCAGCGGATGAAAACACCCTGCAACATTTGCTCTAGCTGATGGATGAAGTCTGGCAAAACGAATACCCACCACAACAATGGAAAGATGGTGTAATCTTCAAATTACCTAAAAAAAGGTGATTTATCCGATTGTAACAACTGGAGAGGTATCACCCTGCTTTCGATACCAGGGAAACTATTTTGTAGTATGCTACTAGAAAGATTGAAAAAATCCATAGATGAAAGATTAAGGGAAGAACAAGCCGGTTTTAGATCCAAGCGGTCATGCATAGACCACATCTTTACTCTTAGAATAATTGTTGAAGATTCTACAGAATTCCAGTCGAAATTATTGATCAACTTTGTCAACTTCCAAAAAGCCTTCGACAGTATCCATCGTCCAACACTCTGGAAATTGCTTAACATCTATGGTTTCCCCATCAAATATATCAACATCATAAAATCTTTTTATAATGAAACACGATGCTGTGTAAGAACTGATTCCGGCAATTCTGACTGGTTCCCGGTGGAAACAGGAGTGAAGAAAGGCTGTCCTATCGCCGATGCTTTTTGGTATAGCAATCGACTGGGTCATGCGCAAGTGCATAAATAACGCAAATTTAGGCATTACATGGGTTGACAAAATTCTGGAAGACCTAGACTTCGCCGACGACATAGCACTCCTGAGTTCAGAACACACAGACGCCCAAGAAAAAAAATCAATCGACTCCAGAATTTCTCAGAACAAATTGGACTCCAAATTAACACCGCAAAAAC